TTTCTATCTAAACACAAAGAGATTCCTGGTGGGAATTGAAAATTGTTTTATTTTCTGCTGCGCTTGTTAAGTAGATTCCCAACAGAGACATGGATATCTAGATTCAAAAGTTTGTGGTTTGGACATCGAATATTTTAAAGATCTAATGAAGTAGAAATTTGGCGACTTGTATTTCCCAAGAACCTTCCTAGACTAGACTTTTCAAATGTAAGAATTTGCCGATCTTTGAGTGACTAAGTTGGTCATCTCGGGAGTTGAGATGAAAAATGTAAATTACTTTTGTTTCGGTCCCTCTTGACTAAAATGTGGAAATTCCTAATAGGGATAGCAACGGAACTAGGCGGGTTGGGGCAACCTCCTGCCACCCTCACACCTATTACTCGTCGAAGGTTGGATGAGGCAAGGCTCTTGCCCCGGTTACTACGCGTTTATCTTTTTTTTTAATAATTCATTTTATTGCTCTATTTATTAAAGTGAGACAATAATATATTTATTAAATTTTTAAATTTATTTATTTATTTATTTATTTCTAATAGTTAAATTATCCAAATATATTTGGTAAAGTAAGGCTTTTATTATTTAGCATATTCTTTAAATAATTTTAGTTGCCATATTATATTAGAATGAATGAAATTTTGTAGAATTTTCCATTAAAAGTATTGAATTCTCTAAATAAATAAAAAATATTAAATGGGGGTGGGGCCTTGTTACCTGTACTTGCCTTAGAGCAAAGTCCCTTGCTCCATCCCCGACCCGAATACCTAATTAAGTGGATAATCTCGTCTTGTTTGGAGTGGGGCTCAGCTGGTATCAAGTTTGACAGATTTTTTTGCCATCCCTAACTTCTAACTTAGAGAAGGAATAGCAAATTTCATGAAATTTATGATACTAGAAGGAATAGCAAATTTCATGAAATTTATGATACGACACACTTATTCACCACTAACTCCATCTATTGTAAATGAAATTGTTTATAAACACTTCCCAAACAAGAAACAAGTCTTTGTTCCTGTAAATGGAATTTGTTGATGTATAATTACATTTGTTATCCAATCAGATAAGATCACATCTCGATCTTACCAGATTACTCAAAAGTTTTTTGCCATGTGCAAAGTGATTTCTTCTCCTAATAATGCATAATGTTGAACCCCATAAAACTTTCTAGAAAAAGCTTTTTATGGAAGCAGAAAATCATGGGCCAAAAGAAAAAATTTGAAAATAAGAGGGGACAAAAAAGAAAAAGAAAAAAGAGAGAGATGGTGTGATGTGGAGTATTGAAAATGCCAATGGCATATCCCTTGGAAGATGCTAACAGCCACCCTCCATTTCATTGTTTCTACTTCCTTTTTGCCTCCCTTTAACCAAAAGTGACCACACATTCCTACTTAAGTCACCTCATTTCTTTCATTGCTCTCATGACTACCAGCATACTTATAACATCCACTCCTATCTTCTTGATCAAACCCTCTTAGCATTGTCACCCCTTTTATGTGAAGTTTTCGAGTTTTGCTCGGCTGCCGCCACCACGTTGCCAATGGCTCCTGGTGGCGTGTGGTGGCGAGTGGTGGCAAGTGGCGGTGGCAGCACCTATCAGAAGCCTTTCCTGGTGCATGAATGATCAAGTAATCCTATATATGCATATGGTAAGGAATGGTCGTTTTAAGGGTGGTGTCATGTTTTTATTACAAGGGCAACTTCTATCCTTTGGCATTTTCATCAGTTCCTTAGAGTACTCTCTCCTTGATGAGGGGTGGCTCAAGAATAGAATTAATGTACTACTTGATTGTTAATAATATGTAAGAGGGCCAATATTGGACACACTTTTTCTTGTACTTGTCTGCGTTTTCTTGGAATAAATCTGCCCCCTTAGCTTCCTTACACTATCAGTTTTATTGTCAGTTTTCTCAATACCACAATGGTTTAGTTGAGTCTACGAATTTATCTAGAAAATAATGAACTTTAGTTGCTCTGTATCTAGTCTTCTCGAGGTGGAAACTAGGATGTATACAAAAGAATCCCTCCTCAGTACAAGAATGTTGTCGGAATCGGAACATTTAGGGATACTTTATGCTTTGCTTGTATGCTAACTTTAATTAGAACGTGTTCAATTTATTGCTCTTTGTTTTTCAAATGTAATAATTGGTACTGGACAATTGTTTCCACGTGTTACAATATACTTGGTTGGTTCTGGCTGTCAAGGATTTACTATACCTAAAGATTTGACATAACTCAAATAGATATTTTGTACCATTAACTAAGGGTATTGCTCGCTCAACCGAATTGTGATTCGGATTGCTTCCAGGAGCTCGGGCTCACGAGCCTATGAGAGGCTCGTATGAGAGATTCACTGCTCGACTTGCTAATACGACAAATCGAGTCGAACAAGCGACTCGCTCTACTCTATATCTCTATTATGAACGAATCACAATATAAATTGAAATTTGAGGAAAGAGAGACAAATATTTGTGTTTAGATTCACTTATTTGACCTTATACTAATTAGGCTTAGTTAACGATCGACGTCAAGGATTTGAATTCTTTAAAAGACATATAGACTATGTTTGGGGCATCACATTAAACATTATGGGAAATTGTGTATAAATTTAGAGGCAATAGTGTTAAAGTGGATTAAGTGGATAGTAATAATTTTTTTATTCAAAAAATGTTAAATTATCACGTTACTCTATGTTATATTAACTGGTTAGCTTTAGAAAGATAGTGCAAGTAGCATTCGTTTAAACAAACCAAAAAAATACTATCCACCTTAATACTATCTATTGCATGTCTACTCCAAATTTATATTCAAATTCTATACACGATCTAATTCGATGTATCAATTGTTAGAAATGAACGTGGCAGACAATTCCTCCGCAATGCCTTTGCAACTTATTTCCATTGCTCTAAAATGCACACCTAGGTGCAAGGTGTGAGTAAAATGCTTGCTTTGGTGGTAAGCGCAAATTAAGCTGTTAACTGCTAACTTAATAGACTAGGCGCACTTATATTAATTTTCCTCCTTTTTAAAAATCTTTTTTATATTTGACTTTAGTTTATTACTTTTTTTTAAAATGCTATTACTTGATTGTAGTTTCACGTTTTTAAATAACTTTATCTGTACAAAATTTCAAAATGACTTTATCTGATAAGGTTTAAGTTATGATGCTATATATATTATGTAATTATGATTTTTAGACTTATTGTTTTATTGAAAACTTATGAAATTCTTATAAATCTGTTAAATTGAATTTGCCTAGTTTAAAGTTGAAACTGTGAAAAATAATCTCACTTTTGCATTTCGAAAACTTTAAAATTGTATAATTGACTAATTATAAGAATTATTAAGTAAATATGGTATTTTTTTTAGTTTTAGACGTTTGGTATGTATTTTAATTATTACATAATTTTTATAATGATTAAAAAATTATAATAATATTAAACATAAGAAAATACTTTTTAATGTCTAGACCTCGTCTAAAGCTTGCGTAGACTTATAAAACTTGAAAATTGGCCTCCATGCTTGATTAGACTTTACGCTTTTCAGAATGCTACCCTTATATAAAAAGTGAATAATATTGCAACAAGGTTGTACGTACTATTCAAAATTATGCCGCTTGTAATTTTAGGTTATGAATTTACCTCAAATGAAATTCTACTTGTTGAAATCAAGTGTCCGACTTATACTTTGATGGTCCATATCTTATAAGGGTGCATGGTCGTATCTCTTCTTTAGATATCTCCAAAAATTTGAAACTTTATAATGCACTTTGAATTAGGTTGGTTCTAGTGCATATTTCCTCAAAGTTGACCACTCGTGTGCTACGGTGGACTTCTTCGGGTTTTGAGTTCGACTTTGAATAGTTGATAGCATATTTAACTCTAACCAGCTTATGTTATGCATAACGTATGTATAGTTCTCGAGCACTATTTAATTGTCCTAAAGGCTTATGTATAATTTAAGGGGCACACTTTAATAAGAAATGTTCTTTTGCACACAATGCGAAGTAAATAATCTTAGTCACTTGGAGACAACTGTAAATAAGATTCTCCTGCCACAATAAGAAATTGATAGTCTCATCCTATTTGCTGTGAGCAGAAGAACAAATTTAGCACTTTAACTGGCCTCATGACTAGAAATATACTTATAACAACTGGACCAAGCTTATGAATGAACACTCTTAGCATGTCCCTGGCCCACCCTAATGAACCTATTAACTAGGGGAAGCGGGACATTTTAGCATCTTAACTTTATCTAACGTATACATCTATAATTCTTTAGTTTTGATTTGAATGGTTGATAAGTATGTTTGTTTATTTGTAGAACCAGTTTATTGAACTCTTCGATTCCATAGAAAAATTCAATTGTTAGGGCCGACTTGATTCAACACATTCATTTATAATGATTAGTCATTTCAACATATTTTCAATATAGATAAATTATTTAGTACATGTATTTCTTGAATCATCGACTATAAAATACATTGACCAAATAAAAAGTAAAGCCCCAACACAACAATCCAATACAAGCACTTGGAACATTTCAATCTAAAAATAAAAGCCATTTGCAAGTAATGTTTCAACGCTTGTATATTAATCATTGGCGGATTAATCTGGCCCGAGATTATTGACCAAAAAAAAAAAAAAAAAAAAAAAAAAAAAAAAAAAAAAAAATTGACAATGGTTGATTACTCGTTGAATTTTTTTTTTTTTTAAGCTCTCAGAATAAATTTAATAATTTGTTGTCGAAAAACTTGATTAAATATAAAATATTTTATCAGTCTTCCAGCCCTTTAACCATGACTAGTGTACGACTTCCCCATTTAATACCTAGCCACATAGCCGTCGGTCGCACCGCACTTTGGCTTCGAATTTATTATTGTCGCAGCGATTATAGAATAACTAATGCGCTTTTACTTGAAATTGGAGAGAAATGGAGTGTTCACTGCAATAGAGACTCCAGAGTCCGGAACCGGGAGCCGAGCCGTTATACAGTAGGACTGCAGTAAGCATATCAACCCTAAAATAATATTTTCAATGAAAGATTCTCTCTCTATCTTGTTTCCTTTCTCCCTTACTCTACGAGGGTTTCGCTATCTCTCTGTACCCTAGATCATATTAAACCCTCTTAATTCCATTTCGTTCACAGATCCATAATCCAAACCCTCGTTTTTCCCTTTTGTTTGTTGCTTTGTTTTTAAGGATTGCAGCAGTGAATTCAGAGAACTAAGTCGCAGTAGTGAATTTAGAGAACTAAGTCGAAGAACGACAATCAGTGATGAAGCCCGAAATGGGTTCTGAAGTAGAATTCTCGGCTCAAATTGATGGATCTGTACCTGAATCCGGATTCAAGGATGTTAGTGTTCAGTCGGACGAGGCCCGGCCCGATTCGAACGGGTCGGATCAGTACTATGTGCGTAGATTTCGGCCGAGCGAAGCGAATGGATATGCTGTTTATGCAAGGAATAAGAGGTTGAAGAGCAGTGGAAGCAAAAGCGAGGGGAGGATTGGGTATTTCGATAAAATCCAGGGACGTTTTGGAAATTCGTGTAGAGATGTAGAAGATGCGAGTTCAAATGTTGGAGCTGTAGGTCTTGGAGGTGATTTAGTGAATGCCGACGGAGTTGACGGTTTTTTGGAGGCTTCGGGATTTAAAGGAAGTGATGATGAGAATGATATGTTGGAGATTGAAGTGAAAGAGGAACCTATGGCAGAAGTAGCCAGGAGTGACTTGCCTAGAAGATTTACTCGGTCGGCCTTGAAATTGAATGCTGATAGTTCGGAAACGGAGAGTGAAAATTTGGGAGAGTTACAGGATGCAGTGGTTTTGGACTCTGAGAGATTAGAGAATGGGGATTTGAGTGGGCTGGGCACTTCGGCTAGGAAGATGGAAATGAAGATGTCTAAGAAAATTGCTGTGAAAGGGAGGCCGACAACCGTCAGAGAGCTTTTTGAGACTGGGTTGCTGGAAGGGTATCCAGTTTTCTACAATGGTGGCAAGAGGGTATGCTTATTTGTTAATTGGTGCAAAATGAAATACGAGATATTATTTGAGTATTTTTGCAGCATTTTGGAAACCATTTCGCGATTTCATGATGCACTCAGGAATTAACATATAATTGTTGCAATTCATATGATAGCTTTAACTAAAATAATGACTAACAGGTATGCGTCTGCATGTGCCTGGACAGAGTGAGTACCATAAAGCGTCACTTAAAAAAAAAAAAAAAAAAAAAAAAAAAAAACTTTTTTTTTAAAAAAAAAAAAAAAAAAAAAAAAAAAAAAAAAAAAAAAAAAAAAAAAAAAAAAAAAAAAAAAAAAAATTTTTTTATTCCAGTTGCTAACAGAATAAACAAAAAGAAAATTTCCACCCCGATGCTAGTCATGAAAGAAGCCTCCGAACATTTGATTTGCTACTAAAACTGTTTGTCCACTCACTCTGGTTTAAGTTATGGATTTATGATGAATCAAATTTTGACACCAGAGCATTCATAACAGCTTAGTTCCATAGCTGTGCAAATATAAACAGAGGTTTAATAGGACTTTAAGAATAAAATTGTAGCTATATAACTGCTGATTATATGAGCATATACAGATATAAGTGCTATTTGTTTGATAAAACATGGAAAATGGACATTTTCGTCTACAAATTCAGAAATCAAGGGAAGAGGGATTTGTTTGTAACTTCTGCATGCTGGTGTGCTATTTGTTTGATAAAACATGGAAGATGGACATTATCATTTACAAATTCAGAAATCAGGGGAAGAGCGATTTGTTTGAAACTTCTGCATAGCCTTGTGAGATTGTAAGAGAGTCATGGAATGAGAGATTGGTTGTAAATAATTTTCATTTGTATGTTTGTTTTTATCATGCTGTTGAACACGTTACCTTCATTTTAGGGATTCCCACTACGGGGAACTATAAAAGACGCCGGAATTCTATGTTCTTGCAGTTTGTGCATGGGAGCTAAGGTGAGTTCTAATTCTTAATGAGTTGGTTTGGTCAACCCATCAAGGTTTTTCCACTTATCTATTGTGTTAATATTGAGTGCATGACTAAGTTTCTTGCATCTTGATATTTATAGGTAGTCCCGCCTTGTCAATTTGAGATCCATGCTTGTAAATCATATAGGCGAGCATCACAGTATATTTGCTTAGAGAATGGTAAAAGTCTCCTTGATGTGGTGAAAGAATGTCGAAAATCTTCTTTAAAGACACTAGAAGAAACAATTCAGAACTTTATAGGACCGTTGCCTGAGAAGGAATCTGTTACTTGTCGGAATTGTTCTGGTGAGCTTGCATTAGTTACTTGATCTTCTTGAATGTTTTACTGCGATCACATTTAGAAGACAGCTTGGTGTCATCAATTTCTAGGGTTATTTCTTGCGACATCAGCTGGAAAGATGGAGCAACTCTGTGATTCGTGTATGATTATCCTGAACTCAGAAGCTGATACAGAGTGTGTGAAATCTAGGTACTCTTTCTTTAATTATAATTGCTTGAACAGTGTCTCATGTTTCTGATTCTAACTCTTGTTGCTTGGCTCATGAACAGCTCTGCTTCTTCACATATTTGTGAATGGCTGAAATATTTTACACTTTTTTAGCTTTATTTGAAGAAGATGCGTGTACTATTAAATTTGGGGATTCTGACCTTGTTGAGTGTTTCTTTCATGCTATCTGTGATTTGATGCATCAGCACGACATTATAAGCACAAGATTAGTCACGTGGTCCACATAGCAGTGAAGTTAGATGTGGGACCAACTACAGCATCTGATGTGCTTGGGGAGAATTCCCATGCTAGAACTGCAGAGTACTTATCTTACAAAGCTTCGCTGATACTTCCATTTAATTATAAGTCCCCCTTGGGCAAATGTTTCCCCAGTGATTTTTGTTCTCCTGGATTCTAGATTCTGCTAGACGACTATGTAGTCACGGCATATTCCAGTTTATTGTTGAGATCTCAACACTGAGTTAACTTCAACTTAAGTTTATCTGTATCATAATATAGTCTGTATCATAATATAGTCTTTACTTCTCATACTAACTTCTGCCATTTGAGTTCTTATGAGGCGTGATGTTTATCAATTTCGAAGGTTATAAATTGTAATTATGTTACAGATTTTTATTTCTTGATCAAAGTAGAATTGTTTTGTCATCTTTCAGGCCTTTGGAGCCACTTCTGGGTTTAATATCACCGGAAAGTAGCGAAGTGCGTATGGCTCCCAGGAAAAGAGGTCGTCGAGGAAGGAAAAAGAGAAAGTTTGTATCTTATTTTCTGTTACCCTTGCTGCTTGATCACATATCTCTGCTATTGGAGTACCAAGGAAACTAAGATTATGACGCTATTTCCCTTTCCCAGGCATTCAGAATTGACCTCTAATGTAAAGTCTTCAGGAAGATCTTCAGTGCGTCTTTCATCAAGAAATGCAAACCATTGGAAGTTAAAAAAGAAGTTGGTTATTTTGCTTAATTTCATTTACTGTTTAGTGTGATTTCACAGCCCCTACTTGCACTATAAAATTGACCATTTTTACCTTTAGTCTGTAGAATCTTTTCCCTCTTCTGATATGTTTATGTTTGGCTTATTAAGGTTGTCACAAACAGCTTCTGCCCTAAATTCTCCTGGAAGTGCTTCATTGAGGAATTTGGAACCAACCGCTAATCTAAATTCAAATAGTAGTACTTCCTTGCACAGCTCACTAAAAAATAAGATTACAAGGAAGATGTCGACTTTGGTGTATGTATCTGTTCTTGATGCATTTCTATTTGCACTTGGATTAAATTTTGTATATTCTTCTGATTTGTTTGATTTCGGATTTTAGGTCGTCAGATTCTGTCTCGCACTCCACCTCTCTGAAAAGTACATCCACATCTGTCTCTGCACAATCTAAGGCTTCATGGAAGATAACAAAAAAGTTGGTACAATTTACTCTGATGTTACCTTATACAATAATTCATGTTATTTTTATTTTGTTTTACTCGACACATTATGAAATATTATGGTTTTTTCGACACATTATGAAATATTATGGTTTCTGGTATTCTTTTACACAGAGACCAGAGGATGCACAAGCTGGTTTTTGAAGATGGTGGATTGCCTGATGGTACTGAAGTAGCTTACTACTCTCACGGAAAGGTAGTTCAAGTAATTCTACATGCAGTACGTTCTTTTTACAGTTTCAGTAATGTAATTTTCTTCTGCCCATCGACAGAAATTGCGTGATGGTTATAAGATGGGTTCGGGGATAGTTTGTCATTGCTGCAACATCCTGGTATAATTCTTCATTCTTAGGTTCAGTTTCCCTCATGTTCAAGTAGAAGTGTTTACTCTGTTCATCTGTTCTGAGCAGGTCAGTCCATCTCAGTTTGAAGCTCATGCTGGTTGGGCGTCTCGTAGGAAGCCGTTAGTGTCTCTCAAACATTGAAAGTTTTTAACGGCCTTTTTGTGCTTATGTTTAAAGACCTGATGTTGCATGTGTTTGATACAGTTATATGTACATCTATACATCGAACGGGGTGTCTCTACATGAATTTGCCATTTCTCTATCAAAAGGTCGGAAATATTCAGCAAAGGATAATGATGACTTGTGCATCATATGCGCAGATGGTGGGAAACTTGTTCTTTGTGATGGATGTCCAAGAGCCTTTCACAAAGGTGAATTTTAAATTTATATGCAGGTTGATCTAGATATTTTTTTTCCCGACCACCTTTCCAATTGAACGTTTTCATGTTGTTTCTTGAGATTCTTCCTTTCCTTTTTATCTTTTTGATTCTTGTCAGCAGCTGCTTTTTTTTTTTTTTTTTTTTTTTTTTTTTTTTTTTTTTTTTTTTTTTTTTCCAAAAAAAAACAAAACTTTTTTTTTTTTTTTTTTTATAAATTTTGATTTTTGTTGGTGAAATCTTTTAAGTGGATAATAAATCCACACTTCGAGCAACGGCAACACCTATTGTTTTCTTACATTAATGTTTTTCAGATGCATATTTCTCTTTTCTTTCTAAATAAATAAATGCTTGTTACACAGATGTTTTAAAATTTCTTTTCTATTTTCTATTATATGGTCCAAGTGCCCCCACCCACTTGCAATTAATTTTAACTTTTAGCTGTATTTCCCTGAATTTTTGCCTTTTTAAGTCAGGACATAGAACTTCCAAATCATGCACATATTGCCTACTGTTGAAATACTTCTATTGTCTTTTATTTAAAATTTTCTATTAATGCTGTGGGATTTAATCTTGAAAACTGTTATTTGTTAGTTTATTTCTATCACAGAATTAAAATAATGCCCTTTTCCATGGCAAAAAATGAACACTTGATAAGACATGATTTTATGTGGACACGTGTTAATCATTTGAATGAGTATTACCCCGACTTTTTTTTTTTTTTTAATACTGTTTTCATTCACTATTTACCCGATTTTGTTCTTGACAGGTTTGATTGCTTTCTCAAACAGTGCTAGACCTATTTTATTTTTATTTTCATTTTCATATATTGGCTATTTTGATAAATGTCATTTGATTGCTTTGTCAAACAGTGTTGGACCATTTTTTTTTTTCATATATTGGAAATTTTGATCATTTGATTGTTGTGCCATATCCTATTTCTTCCTCCTCTTCTCTCTGGGCACCCTGTTTTCTTTCCTTAGATAATTGTTCCACACCAACCTGTTATCATGAATTAAGTTTAATGGATGTAGGGACATTTGTGTTTACGTTGTTACGATGATATGCTTACGTACTATTTTGACATACAAGCACTCTTTTGTTCCAGTGTTGAGTGTGCATGTTTAGGTGATGGGGGTTTAAACTGTGGAAGAATATAATATGCTTGAATAATGATTTAACTGATATCTTTGTTCTTGGTTTAAATGATGGCTGCTTCTCTAGTAGTCAATACTCTCTATGGACTAATTAAATTAGTGTCTTGCATTATTAGTATCTGGAAATTTCTTCTAGCACTCTTTCGCTAAGAAGCACGGATTCAGAATGTAATTCCAATATGATACAATAAGGATACGTTGATACAGCTTTTTAAAAAGAATTAGGATGCGGATGCATGTATTAGAAGTTTTAATACTGTCATCAATTTTCAATAATAAAATTATAGTTATCCATTATTACCAAATTTTATATGTATTAAAAGTTTTAATATTATTATATACTTTTAGTACTGAAACTATAGTTAACAACGATTAACAAAGTTTTATATGTATCAAGAGATTCAATACTATTGTTTATTTCCAAAAATAAAACTCTGATTGTCAATTAATTAAAAATTCTAGTTGTCAGTTATTTAATATTATGCCCCAATTAGGTGTAGATTAAAAGTTAGATTTTTGATAGATTTTGATAAATGTTGATAAAGCCCCCGTTTGATCTCCATTAATTTTCATTCCATTATATTTCATTTTTCTCTCTCTTATTTTCAACCACACAATCTTCTATAAAATAATATTATACGTAAATCAAAAACTTTTTTTTTTTTTTTGAACCACTCATTTTTCAAAAAACACTATTCCACACATTCTCATTACCACAAAATGGGGGCCAAATGGGGGCAAAATATGTGGTTTAAATTATTTGTTGACTTTGACTTGGCCTATATATATATTTTCAATAATAGGTGTAAATTGTGTAGTTATTTATTATTTTAAAATACGCTTACATTCTTTAAAATTGTTAATTAATAAATATTAGATATTTTCAATAAATTATTGATGATAACAATAGTTATTTATTAACTAAAAATACTTTGTCATTTATTGTCAATAATAATGAGTTTAAAAGAGTTAGAAACTAATAAAACTCTTATTTTGCATGTGTCATAACGCGTCTAATACGTATTGAAAGTTTAAAAATACGAAGTATATTGAATACGCAATAAATTTATGAGTACCCGTGCTTTTTAGCTCTTTCCTATTTGAGGTTCAAAATTGCAATGTTGTGAGTGAGCTGCATCTACCAGCCACTCCCATTAGCTTTTACTCTGTTATCTTTTGTTTTGATTTATTTATTGCCCATCTACCCTTGTCATTTGTCATCTCACCATGCAGAATGTGCATCTCTCCCAAGTATCCCTCGTGGCAGATGGTACTGTACATACTGCCAAAATATGTTCCTGAGGGAGAAATTTGTTGAGCACAATGCCAATGCTGTTGCAGCTGGAAGAGTATCAGGTATCAATCCAATAGAGCAGATAACGAACCGTTGCATCCGTATTGTTAAGAACCCAGAAGAAGCTGAGGTGATAGCATGTGTAATTTGCAGGTATTATTAAAATAAATAAATAAATAAAAATCGTTGTTTCCATCTATCTGTGATGTTATTTTGATTAACATTGGATAGATATCTTCCTAGTTAATATTCTCGTATGTTACTACGTGAACTTGTTTTCTTTGCAGAGGCTACGACTTCAGTAAATCTGGTTTTGGTCCACGCACTGTTATACTATGTGATCAGGTATTCTTCCTTTTTTCATTGTAACTTTTCTTTTATAACGAAGTGGCATAGATTTGGAGAACCATGCTAATTTACCACCTTTTTTCTAGTGTGAAAAGGAATATCATGTGGGCTGTCTGAAAAAATGCAAGATGGCTGATCTAAAGGTGTGCAAGTGTGCAATTAAAGTAACTTTTCCTTGTTTAATATGGATGAGCTCTTCTGGATCTGAAATTGATGCAACTTTGTGACAGGAACTTCCGAAAGGAAAATGGTTCTGTTCTGTGGATTGCAAGAGGATTTATTCTGCATTGCAGGATTTGCTGAATGCTGGGGAAGAGAAACTCCCCGACCCTTCCTTGGATGTTATAAAGAAGAAGCATGAGGGAAAATGTTCTGATGCTGGTGATGACTTTGATGTGAGATGGAGGCTTTTGAATGGGAAAATTGCTTCTCGTGAAACCAGAGTGCTGCTGTCACAGGCTGTAGCTATATTTCATGTAAGCATTGATATGCCAGATTTTGAAATTTATTCTCATTTTTAATTTTTTGGGGCTACAAATTACGATAATTGACTCACTTTTGGGTTTAGTGGCTAATGGGGGTATCTCAGAGATCTCAAGTTTGCAGGATGTTTGTTCTTTGTATGCATATCGAACTTGCACTAGTTATGAAATTCTGGCAGCATTAATATTTCACAGATTCAGTGTATTGTTACGTATGTATGAGAAATCATTTGTATGGACGTTGATACATATGTATGAGATATCTTTCAGCTGTCAAATGGGGTTCAGAAAATGGTTCGAGTTTTTCCCAACTTCCGTTGAATTTCTTTCCCATGGTTTCGAATTCATTTTCCTCTCATTGGAACCTTACTGCTTTTGCATCCATGTATTTTGATGTTAACATTTTTTTGCTGATTTAAATTGATATTATTAACTATGACTTGACCTTGTTTAGATTGTTTGTAGTTTTAGCTTGGAATTCAGCCTAATGAGCCTTTTTTCTTTTACTCTGGAATCTCTCGAGTGAAGTTGGCATTATTGAATTGTTTGGCTTGACTTTCAGGATTGTTTTGACCCAATTGTTGACGCAGAAACTGGACGTGACTTCATCCCATCTATGGTTTATGGGTAAGCATGAATTCTTCTGCACTTTGTCAAGCACGGTTGGTTTTCTTGCCAATGTTGTTCCATCATGATTTCTTACTCTCTCTCAGAAGGAATATAAGGGGACAAGACTTTGGTGGAATGTATTGTGCAATTTTGACTGTGAAGTAAGAAACATTTTTCCAAACCATGCCATATACTTTGTATGTTGCTAGTATGTTCTCTGTTAACTAGTTTATTTTTCTGATCTTGTAGCTCAACAGTTGTATCAGCAGGAATCCTTCGAATTTTCGGTCAAGAAATTGCTGAACTCCCTTTAGTTGCAACTCGCCTTGGTAATCAAGGGAAGGTAAGTTATTTTGTGGCTCATCAAGGATGCCCGTTATGATGTAATCAAATTAGACGAGGATCTTGACTTTTGAAATACAAACTATAACCAAGCCTTGGTGCAAAATTAATCAAAGGGTTGAGTAATCACGGCTTTATGGGAAGATTACAGATTGCATGTTCCATTGACAATTATTTGCTGCAAATCCAGTGTTTCTCTAAATGATGAAGAATGGAAGTCAGTTTATATGATATGGAATTATTTATTCCCCTGAAAATGGTGCAATATGATTTTCCAGGGGGGAGGTGTTATTCCCAATAAGGGTGCACAGTTTTTTTTCCTCTTCGATGGAGCTAGTTATCTTGGAATTTGTGTTTATTTTCTTATTATTATTATTATTTTTTTATTTACTTTGTCCGGCTCATAATAGCCCTTTTTTTGGTTTGACATCCTAAAAGCTTCCTAGATTTCTCTTAAGCCACACAATTTTTTATGTAACTGATTTTTGGCTAATGCAACTGATTTTAAAGGTTATGAGCATCTATTAAAGATTAGTGCCTGCTGGCCACCTCTGGCAAAGCACTCGTTCTTCCCTATCTTGAATATTGGGGATTATCTCAACATTTATGTTGGTCTCAAATTGAGTTTATTTTGCTTGAAGCTATTCGCTTTCTTCTTCTCCATATTACAACTGAAGAATAAAAGAAAGCCTGAAGCCTTTTTATTATTAATTTCATATTAGAGTAAAAACGCTGTGGAAAAAAATTAGTAAGTCCATGTCTGACTGTCTTCCTTATTTTTCTATGCCCTCATGTTACGTACCTGGCAAGTATGAGAGCGGACTAAATTCACATTTTTCCTTACATGTGCTCTTCCAATATGTGGAAGGCTTCATCTTGGAAATATGTCCATTCACATTAAAATGTACCGTTTGTGGAGCACGTGCTGCAACTAAGAGTAAAGTTGAAATTGGATAATACTGTGTTGAAAATTTTAGCGGAGTAAGTGTAGTGAAGAAATGGTAAATATCTTAGAAAAAGCTTTGTTAATATATATGCAAGCCTCCCCATATTTGCTAATATTATGCACTATGTTATGCTTCTCAGTCACCTTATGCGATGAAATTTCTGTGATTATTGTCAATTACTTTTTTAAAAATTTGCTGCTGCCATCTTTCATCTGTGACGCTTCCGGTTTGTGTCATTCTTACCCATTTGTGCAGGGATACTTCCAAACCTTGTTCTCCTGCATCCAGAATTTACTCTCGTTTTTGAACGTGAGAAGCTTTGTTCTCCCGGCTGCAGATGAGGCAAAGTCAATATGGACAGAGAAGTTCGGATTCAAAAATATACCACCAGAACAGGTGTGTGATTGTGGCATATTAAGCCCATATTTGAGCCCCATTTTTACCAATATTCATTTTTCTCAAAACTTGTTAAAAATGACACATTCTTTCATAAAATAATTTTACACGTAAACCCAAAACATTTCTTTACTTGTCAACTACACATTTCTCCAAAAAATAACTATTACAAAACCCATTGTTTTCAAAAAATGGGGATCAAACGGGAGAGCAACCTGTCCTGCCTCTTACCTCTTTTCATTCCAAAAGAAGGGGCAAATTAAAAATAATAATAATAATTAAAGCAGTTCTCACTTATTTGGCCCGTTATTCACGATTTATCATTTTGTCTTGCAGCTTTTCAGTTATAAAAGGATCTGTTGGCAAATGATAAGCTTCAAGGGAACGTCTATGTTAGAAAAATCAGTTCCAAAATGTCTTAGTATTAATCAAGATGAAGCAGATTCTGAAATGTCCCTGCAGTGATTAGCCAAATAAAGCCATTTTCTTTGCGGCTTTGTAGGCTGATGTAAATGGGTTTTTTATTTATTTACATCTGTACAAGCTTTTAGGGCTGTATCGGAAGTTGGGGATTAGCGATAGATGGTAGCAGAAAAGGAATAGGGAACTCGATGAGGTTTTTCATATTTCTGGAGAATGGTTGTGAAGTGTAAAAAGTTCGGTAGCTCATTATTGGCATAATTTAGGGCAGGGGTTTCAATCTATTATTTTCCATTTTCGGTATTTATTTTTCTTGTAAATAAATATTTTGAAGAAACACACTTCTGTTTCTGAGGTACTTGTGCACTCTTGTATTTTCTTTTGAACGTGAATGTGTATATGCTATATAAGATCGTTATCGACTCATGATCGCGTGACAACTGATGTTATTCGTACTTCTATGGCCACCTTAAGGAGCAGCTTATTCTGTTATTTTCTTTTATGAGAAATTCTCTTTAACGTGTGGTAGACAGTGATCAAGGATGTTCGTGTAAAGTGTGAGTTGTATGAATCTCCTATGAGCTTATCGATTACTTGGTTACAAAAATGATATCTTTCGACTTGGTTATATTAATGGCTGATGGACATTTTTTGTAATATAATTAGGAAATTGCTGTGTACACACCATAAGGTGTGTATACAGCCTTACACCCCCCCCTCACAAGAAGGGGAGTTCGTGAATATTTTATTACTTGTGGGCCCTCCTCAATGTGATTGAAGCCTGTGTGTACACGTGCACAGCACAACCCAGATAATTAATACTTGATGAGTTCTGGAAAGCAACTAGGGAGAGATGGGATCCAGGTATTTTAGCCCACTGAAAAACAACCAATTCTGGCATTAAAATGGGGCCCGGCTTTTAGGATCACGAATCTTTTTCTTTAGGATCAGCAAAATTTTTAATGTTAAGAATCCTTGGAGGAGGCACTATTACTATTGGAGCATATTGGTGTAACTAGTTGATTAATATGATTTATTAAACACTAATATTAAAATTCTGGATTCTACCACCATTATCAAACACGTCGTAAATGTTTTAGTCTGAGCGAGCGAGCTTGATAATTTACTGACACTTTACCCATTAGAGGAAACAATTAGGAGACGAGTAGAATGCTAGCATCAGGTCTATGAAAATAACTAGTAAATGTTACTAAACTTAATCCCTACTGTGGAAGGATTGCTCTAAAATGTCCTGAATTAGAACTGATATATTGAAGTGTGCAGCTCCCCCAGATTCCATTGCACTCTGTGAGATTGTCTCGAGTTCTCTGGCTCTGTTTCTTCTATTTTCACCTTCTTCTCCTTCATCCATTAGCTGTTCTATAGCACTTTTAACTTGGTCTTTCTTGACGAGAACTCCAACTTTCTCCTCGTCTCCCCATCTAACTGGGAGCTCGACTCCTACTCGAACACCAATCCTCAAAATTTCCACGATAAGTTTCTCGTTGAAGAATTGTTCTGCAAACATAGGCCATGTTATCATTGGGACTCCAGAGCACACCCCTTCTATAGTCGAGTTCCAACCACAGTGTGTTATGAACCCTTTTATTGCAGGATGGGATAAAGACGAGAACTCCAACTTTCTCCTCGTCTCCCCATCTAACTGGGAGCTCGACTCCTACTCGAACACCAATCCTCAAAATTTCCACGATAAGTTTCTCGTTGAAGAATTGTTCTGCAAACATAGGCCATGTTATCATTGGGACTCCAGAGCACACCCCTTCTATAGTCGAGTTCCAACCACAGTGTGTTATGAACCCTTTTATTGCAGGATGGGATAAAATAAGAACTTGAGGGGCCCAACCTTTGATCAGAAGTCCCCTCCCTTCAATTCTCTCCTCGAATTTCTCCTCCAATAACCATTTCTCGAACTCTGGAAATCTTTCTCCTGTTTTTATTACCCAAATAAATGGACGTTTTGATGCTTCCAAACCTAGTCCGAGTTCTATTAGTTGCGATGGAACCAGACGACACTGGCTGCCAAGGCACGCGTAAATAACAGACTCCGTTTTCTTGGAATCGAGCCATTCCAACAACTTTGTTTCATCGGTTGAAGCTTTATTCCCTCTCTCAATCTTGTCCAAAATATCCCTATTGCATAGAGAAACCGGACCGATACACCATACCTTTTTGTTGATAGCCTTACTGTATTCTTCCACACAACCATGCTCCAATTCTAGGAAAGTATTCACAACCACCCCATAAGCACTCGATTCAGCCTCTTGCATTTCGTCCCTAATATCATCCAAATCCGGCAAAGTGACAAATGCTCCCGGCAACTGAGCTTTTGCTATTTCAACCCGCATGGGAATTCCAGGAATCACAAAGGGTTCTAAATCAGATTTTACAGAGAGATGAGGTTTGTACAATTTTACATAATGGGAACTTAGGAGAGAAAAACAGCACATCCCATGAAAAACGAGCCTCGGTACCTTAAACTTTTTGGCCATTTGAGATGTCCAAGAAAGGCACTTATCAGAAATTATGCAACTTGGAGGAAGATCATGTTGCTGTAAGTACTGTTCCAATGGATGTTGTAGCTTATTCAGCCCACGGAAGAAATTTCTTATGAGGTTCCTCGATGGGACGCTGTCAAGATTCTCACACCCCAGTGGCAATCCTACTTCTTCACAGGGAAATGGAATTTCTATTAGATTAACATGCAACCCTGTAGCTTGAGCTCGGCGAACACTAGTGGCGAACCTGTACGCGTTGTGTGGCGTGGTGACTAAGCTTGTGACCACTCCATGCTCAGATAATAACCTGGCCATGTCTATCATGGGGATCATGTGGCCTTGAGCCAATAACGGGACGAACACGAAGTGAAGTCTCCGTGGATTAGCTGCCATGGTTTCGGATAATTTTCTGGGATAAATTTTCCGGACAGGGAGGCAAAGACCTAAGGATAAGGATTTTGCATTGTTAAGAGAGTTTCTTGAAGTCTTTTTAAAGTTAGCTTGACAGGTTCTAGATTTAAATTTTGGAAAGTGCACACACATTGTAGTGGAGACACAATTGGTGCACTTTGCTGCGGTTTGATGCGTGTATTGTGTGTTTGATCGAGTCAATTCAAATGTAAATATTGGGACGAGTTCTAGTATTATTTGCATTAGTTGTCTGTCTTTCACGATCTCACTGATTTAGACAGAACTTATTAGAGATCGAGTCAGTGGTATCTAATACATTTTTCTACCCACCTCTAAATTATGATAAGAAATTTTCGTAGCACGGCGTTGTATTTTTCCAAAAAATGTGTTATAATAAGCACTTCTTGATCAATGGTGAGAAAAGTATCTTCATCAATTTTAATTGATTTGAAGAGTATGAGAAATGATTAGTGGCTGAATACAGACAAAGTCAATCTTGATTAATCTACAGAGTCTTTTATTTCGGATGGATTACAACAACATTCCTAACCCAGCAAAGACGGCAATTTGGTATGTGGAGCAAATCTTGTGGGGGGAAAGATATATTGGTTGATGCTTAAAAACTTGTGGCATATCCCGTCCACTTGTTCTTGTTGTCTGTGAACTTGACTTGACTCAAGTCGTGATGTAGGTCGAAATAGATTGATAGTGGGCACGTTGATTATCGCGTCTTAACCTTTCTTTATATGAATAGCGTTATTTAGTTTCATTGATGTTTAGTAACAATGGTTGTGACAGTACGACACCATCATATTTTTAATTAAAGTTTATTACATTTTATGAATTGGACAATATTATAATGATTCACTTAAGTACCAATAAGGTTAAATATCATTATTAACATGGTCTATCCAACATCTATTATTCTATTTGAAATACTCAAAATAGATTTAGAATTGTGGTATTGGGTCCTTAATCCCATTCGAGGCCTGATTAACGGGATGATGGTATGGTGGAGGAAGCAGTGGAATAATGCCATTTGTTTGTATAGAAATTACAGCAATGCCATTTTGAATATCTGATGGAAATATCTTGAAGTCACTGTTAGGCAATCATTAAAATAAGTAAATCATGTCTTTCAAGCTCATTCACATATTCTCGTATTAAAATATGTTGTATATTAACCATTTTACAATGATATCAAAATATAAAAACTCGTAAGAAATAAGTTTAAATTATAAATTATGTCATTTTTAGTATTATCGTATTACTATTTTATATTTTTATATTATTATTAAATTCATGGCAAAAAAAATTTAAAGACCGACATAAATTAAATAGTGTCCGCACTGAATAATATTTTTGACTCCGTCCTTGTAAACACCTTAAGGTAAAAGATAGGTGACGAAGATGTTTGAATTTCATTTCATACAGATGACAAATTGTGCGACTTTCATTTTTGCTAATGTGAACAAGTAAGCCAAAACTTCATACTTGAATGCATACCACATGTATTTGTTTACCAATTCAAGGGTCAATGCACTTGTCTCACGAAATTAATTGCATTTCAATCTTCCATTCTTTTGAACGTTGAACAACATGAAACATGCAATCAAATGTGTATCTATCAATTGTCAGTCATACGTTTTTTCTAAGAGTTTAACTAAATATTTTTATTAATAATTTAAGTTGAAAAAAAAAATAATTTACTTATTTTGATAGCAATAAAAGAGTTAATTTTTGAAAAAAAAATATTATTAATTTTAAGATTAAAAAAAAGGTAATTATAGGTAATTTTACATTTTTAAAACTTTTTGTTGAATTAAATAAGATGCATTCAATTGAGACTTTCAAAGATTTCTATTAACTTTTTTAAGTGGGTGATTTTTGTGGATTTTATGGACTTTTAAAGTGATTTTTATGAATTTGTTAAGAATTAATGAAAGTCTTCCATAGACTTTGGTAGACTTTGATTGAAGATATTTAAATACTTCTAATCTTACAAATTCATTATATACCTAAAAAATTATAATTTTTCTTACTATCTAATTAACATTTTTTAGAACCATGATGCCCACAAAAATTTTATCGGTAAAGCCATTAGTCACAACCTAGTTATTTAATTTTGGCGCGAATAAAATTGAAAAACTTTTACATCAATATCTAAGAACATAATCATAAAATTTTCACGAAATTAACATAATTTCTAAGAACGCAAATTATCTCCACAAATCTCAGAATATATGAGAGATTTTTTTTTATTATTTTTCTTATTTTTTGAAATTTGTTATTAATATTTTTCATCAAAAAATTCCAGAAACCCAGTAAGTAGAGAATTTTTCAAAACACACTGTCTATTTGAATACCTCATGACTTGACTTCTAAAAAATTTCAATTGAATATTCCGTAACTTTTAGAAGTTTTTTAAAAATCTATAGAAATCTCAATTGAATACACTTAAGTCTTTAAAGAATCTTTAAAAATCTCAATTGAATACGTCTAAACTTTTTAAATCTTCAAAATTTTTTAAAAGTCCAAAATGAATACACCCATAGATGTCCAAAGTGGGAAAAGATCATGTTATTTCTTTTCTCTTCTTTTTTTAAATTTTTTTATTATTTTTTTGATGTTCACAAATAATTTTTTTTTTCTGTGTTGGAATACCAGCCTTATTTATTTTTTACTCCATTTTCTTCTTCAAATTTTCCTATATATTTTTTGAGAAAAACAAAGGAAAAATGATTTTTTTTCATGGAATACGTATTATCGTTCATTCTTGCATCACGTATCCTAATTACAAATGAAAGAAAATGGGTAAAGAAAATATATGTGTTGAGGTTAAAGAAAAAAAAAGTCAAAAAAAATAAAAAAATGAGAGAGAGAGAGAGAGATCGTGACAAATTAATTAAGCCCCCATTTGACGAGCATTTAAACAAAATTCTTTTTTTCCCAAATTTATTTTCAACTAAACATTATTGCAATAAAATATTTTGTATGTAAACTCAATTTTTTTTTAATCATGCATTTTCTAAAAAATCACTGTTCATAACTCATTTTTCCCCAAAAAATGTTATAATTTTTGTCAAAGGGGGGCTAAATGTCCTGAGAAATAAAAAAATCCCCCAAATATGAAAATTAATTAGACCGAATAATTTTATAATAACTGTGCAAAATTTTTAAAAAAATAGAGCAATGTCAAAAAAAATTCAATATCAAGAAGTTACCAAACATGTTGAGATTTTTAATGTCCAAAGGGTTTCTCAATTCCTCCAAAATCCACGAAATACTCCAAGAAAACTTCCTCCACCATTGGCACCACCTCAAGAATCTACAGTATTTTCTTAAAGTTAGACTTAAGAGAGAGAGATTAATTTGGTTGGTTCAACTTTGAGGTGTGGATTTTGACGAGAGAGACATTGGTTGGTTCAATTTGAAGGAAGTAAATGGAAATTTTAGTTTTAAATTTTTTTAAATAATATGCTTAGTTAGATTTTAATAAAAAATTTAATTTTCTTCATCGAGAAAATTGCAGCGAATATTCTCTTTATAAATTGAAATCTACTATTCATAATTTAGCAAAAAAATGTCTAAAATTTTTCGACAACTCTAATAATCCCATGATGTGACTATTTGTATAGTCAAAATATGGGAAAATTACAGTAGAGATCTCAAACCTTTAAAATATTAGCAGACTTTTCCCAAACTTTTAATTTGTTGCAACCATCTCTCGAAACCTTTTGAAACGTTGTGACGGAGGCACTTTTGGACGGTTTTCATCCAAATGTCTGTTAGCTTACTAAGAATTTTGACTTTGACCATATTGTTAATATTTTTGAAAGGGTAAAATAGTAACATCCATTTATTACATTAAAATAAGTGAGAAATTAAATTAGGAAAAAAATAGAAATTAAGAAAAAAAGAAAAGAAAACCGTCCAAAAGAGCATTCGCCACAATGTTTCGAAAGGTTTTGGGTGACGATTGCAACAAATGAAAGGTTTGAAAAAAGTCTGCTAATGTTTTAAAAAATTTTCCTTTAAAATATTGGCTATTGTTAATTTGTTATACTTATTATGCTGAATGTCAAAATACACGAAGATTGACAAACAAATATGTGTTCAATTTTTGTACAGTTGTAATATCATGATATAGTAAGAGACAATCGACAATATCGTTGTCAACAACAGTGATAAACAGCTATGGAGCTCAAGAGAGTACATGATAAATAGAATTGATGAAGGACTACGTCATCCAATAAGTTATGTAGTTTCATTACACATGGCAGAGAATCCATAGAGCAGTGCGAGAACTAGGAAAAAAGCCCCTTGTCCAGGGTTGTCATCACTTCACCAGAGAAAATGTGTTTAAAGGAAAGATAAATTTAGCTCCTGTTTGGTTCCCATTAATTTCAATTCTATTATATTTTATTTCTCTTTCTCCTATTTTCAACAAAATAATTTTTCATAAAATAATATTATACGTAAATTGAAAACTTTTCTTTCATTTTTAACTACTCATTTTTCAAAAAAACACTATTTGACATATTTTTATTTTCCCAAAGTGGGGGCCAAACGGGGGCTTAAACTACTTTGTGCCCGAAAAATAAGTGACACACATATTGACAACATGAATAAGCTCTTCAAAAATCGAAGAGTTTCAAACACGACTGAGGATGACTAACAGAGATGAGTTAAATGAAAGGTCAACTCTGAGTGGGAGAATTCTGGAGATATCCATGTAGCATTGTAAGAGTGAGAATTGAGTGGTCTTGTTAAAGTGTTGCGTGAGTGGAGCTCTCGAATGCTAGGCGTTTTTCCTCGAGTGATTATTATATTGATCAGTGGCTTTCATGCGTGTAAATAAATTGTGAGAGTTCACTTTGTTAATAAAGTATTTACCCACTCTTTGAGCCCCTGTTTTTTTTTTTTTTTTAAAAAAATATTTTTAAACAATATTTTAACATTATTTTAGTCACATGTTTTTTAATAAAATTATATTACAAGTAAATCTAAAATTTTTCCTTATTTTTTAATCACATTTCTCATCAAATACTATTCAAAAATTCATTCAATAAAAGAATGGAGCTCAAACAACGGTTTACTTTCGTACTCCAAACTCATCAACTCCCTCCAACGATGAATTCCAATCACAATGTATTGACTATCCTCCCATTGAGGGATGGGATAGTGGCCTCTGCCTTCGACCATTTCTTGAAATCTCTCCTCAGAATCATTTTTTAATTATTTTTTTATCCTCTAACTATTCAAATGAAAGGAAAATTAGATTATTCTTGAGTAATGCTACACGACTC